TTGCTGGCTCATGTCCAGCTTTTCATCCACCAGTACCCCCAAGTCCTTCTCGGCAGGGCTGCTCTCCATCCCTTCATCCCCCAGCCTGGATTGAGACCAGGGGTTGCCCTGACCCAGGTGCAGGACCTTGCACTTGGCCTTGTTGAACCTCATGAGGTTCACATGGGCCCACTTCTCCAGCTTGTCCAGGTCCCTCTGGATGGCATCCTGTCCCTCTGGCGTGTCAACTGCATCACTCAGCCTCCTCAAGGGTTAAAGTACCCTTGCTGTACAGTTCCTCTTGGCTCCTGAGCCACAAGGGTGGAGATGAGTGAAAGCTTCATTCCAGGTTTCACCTGGCATCGCACTTGGCTTATCACCCTTGAGCCAAATTCTGCCCAAACCCTGGTTTCCTAACAGGGACTTCAACTCAAATCCAAGTCCCCTTATCATTTTTAAAGGTGCTACTCTAATTTCCAAGCATCCTGTATTGATTGTGCTTTAAACCCAGGTATGTTTGTATAACTGTAGGTTAATATGATTTTGTAACAGTACATTTCTACTTCAGATAATGAAAATCACTTGCAATCTGACACACTTTGAGGTCCAAACATGTCTGTTATACCATTACACAATACTCCCAAGAACATTGTTTTCCTCTGGTTCATAAAAGTTGTAATAGGGCCGTTAGTCCTTCTACCACTTTTCAGCGTGGTTTCAAAACCAGCTAACAAATTTCCTGGTGCCAAATATTTCTTCTGCTATTTGCACTTATTGTTCTTCTAAAGAAAAGCTGCAAATAAATGTAAAACATATGATTAATCTTTACCCTACTTAGTAATGCATCACTGCTAGGATATTGCATCAGCAAGTACTGGTATTTTTCCACCATACATCTCTTCTCCAAAAAGAAGGGAGGAATAAATCATTATTCTTTAAATTTGGCTTCAAAATACAAAATAAATTAAAGGAGGCACCGGTCACAATTTATACAAGATAAGGTAGCCCTGCTAGTCTGTGTTCCATCCTGCCAGTTACTATGGTCACATAGGGTTGAATTTGAACTCAATTTTCCCAAGAACCATAGGGTTTGGGGTTTTTTTAAATCAATTTTCTACAAAAATCAGAAGGTCACCAAAAAATTGCTTATTTTCTGTAATCTAAGGTCAATTTCTTTACATGTGGTAGGGATTGATGGGGGCAGGGGAGAGGTTTTTGAGTGCTCAAAATTGCTGATAGTATTTCTAAGCTAAAACACCTAATTAAATTATACACTTATAAAAGAGGCTATCACTCTAGACCAGGAAGAATTCTCTCCGAAATCAATATCCATCATTTTTATGGCCAGACAAAACTCTCACTATTAAATATACTGTAATAACAATTGTATTAAATTTCTCTTATGTGATACGCAATCCATTTGCTTCAGAAGGGACTGAATTTTTGTGACCTTTTAACTTGTACTAAGCTCTTAATTCTCAAAATCTGCTTTTATAGCATTTGAGAATTGAAAAAGTTATTTTCTTAATTAAAGATTTTAGTGTTAGATTGCTTTTTCTGTAGCAAATGATTATTATAAATTAAGAAAAAAAGACTAACCTGGATTTTTCCTGGTCTGGTCATTATGCACCAGGGATTATTTTTGCTCGTTGCGTTTTTAAGGAAAGATTTTTATCAAAATTACTTATCCTATAGTAACAGAACAGAGAAACCATTTATTCCGTTTCTTCTTGCGCCTGACCTCTCTGTCCATTTAAAAAAAAAAATCCATGCAGAATTTGGATCTTTCACAAAAAAATGACTGAAATGCTTATAAGTAAGCGTTTTAAACAGCATTTGAGGGTTTAAATTGATAGGATAATACACACACAAAAAAAGCCATCTAAAAGAAGAAAATAATGATTTCTGGATAGGTTTCTGTTCCTCTGTGGAACTGCAAAGAATAATCAAGTAACATTCTACTGAGTATGTACCTTCACCAGGATTTTAATTGCCACATGTGAATCCCATGGGACACAAACACATTCCAAGCCTGTCTGTAGAATATTGCTTTTATCAGGGAATTTTTTCTTCTACATGTGATGGTTGACACTGGACTTTTTTTTTCTCTCTGAAGTTCATCAAAGTTAGGAGATAAAAGTCCATGCAAAAGAATGTGGACACATCTTTTTTTTTTTATAAAGAAGGCAGGAAACTGGCAGATGTCCCCTTGATATCTTCAGGTTTATATGAGAGGCGTAGTCAAGACCTTGGACGCGGAACAAGGAGGGCTGCTTCAGAATGGTATAAGGGGAAGGCTAGAGCATAGCAAGAGACGAGCCGAGTATGATGTTATATGGAGATATTTTATGAAAATAACTGAGGAGTTTAGTTCAATTACCTGAAATGTTACAGATCTCGGGGTGAACCATAGAAGGGAAAGTACTGCCTAGCAGTTCTGGGAAGGGATCTGAGGAGTTTTTATTTTTAAGCAGCGTGTGTGTGTGTTTGATTTGGTTTTTCTCCCAATAGTAATGGCTTAAGCAGAAAGAAATTGGACTCTGAGACCTAGCCTAGATGCTTTGCTTACTAATGTAATAAAAACTAGCTTTTGGCTGAAAAAATCATGTTTTTCTTAACTGGATAAAAAGCACCCGAGTGTCTTGAAGTCTAAATCCATTTAGAGATAGGTGTTATGTAGTGTTAAGCCATTTGTAGGATTTTACACGTTAAGGATTTTAACAAGAGAGTTGTATAGTCATTTTGTAAACACAAATGTGGTGGAAATAAATCATTGATTAACTAAAGGAATGGGATACTCCAAACCTAGTTGGAGATCTATGTAAACGAATATGTCAATCTGGTTCAGATAATAAAAGATCATGTTAGTAGAGTGACTTGGGGTTTTTTTGTCTCTTTCTCCAATACGATGCCTTCTTATGCCAGGTAATCATCTTGCTCTAACAAAGAATCTGTACGGTTGAAAGACTCAAAAATTGCTAACAGGTTTACTCATTAAAATACTAATAATTAAAAAGCAAGAGGTAGAGGTATTTTTTAAGTAAACCTTCAGCTCTTTCCAGCAGATTTAGTGCAGCTGGCCAGAGCTAAGCCTAGGAAAATTAAAAGGTATTAGTTTAGCCTTATTTTTTCCCAAACTAACCTGAGGGTCAGAATTTTTGTCATGGCATGATCTATTCCCTTCCCATTTGAAATTTTTTGGCCAAAATGGTATCATGGCCATAGGCCTCAAAGGAAGCTATTTTGTAATGCAGGTTCACACTTTGAAATCTATCCAACATGGTACCGGGTGTACTTTTCCCATTTCAAAGTCCCTGTCCGCTCTCAGATCAGCTGGGGTGCTGTATACAATGCTGGACATGAATCCTCCACTGCCAAAAGTGTCCCTTTATCTCCTGCGTCTGAAGATGCTGAAGCTTTCCTACTTGACAGGGCTTGAAATGACCATGTGAATAGATCCCATCTCTTCCTCAGTGCAGGTTAGGGACAAGGGACGACACCGCCCAGAGTCAAGTCCAGGTTCCTATGGGGTCTCTGCACAGAGCCAAATGGGGAGGAGGAGAAGATGAAGTAAAAGTGTTTATGCCTGTATTTCAACTCCAGTGCTTCCTTTTTTTTTCCCCCCTCAGGTGGTGTGAAAATGATAACGGATGCGCCCAGGACTCCCTCACTGCAAGGTAAGTGTGTGAGAATTTGCTACTCGTGGTACTTTACTGAGGTCCTGTTGCTCACCAGCTACCCAAACGGAGTAGCGGAGAAAATATTTTGTGAAAAGACACTTCTTGATCCTAGCGGATTTGAGTCACGGTCTGACTGTGTGGGTGCTTGGCATGGCACCAGCAGAGAAATAGCTTGTGTTTGAACTGATTGAACTTCCAATCTTACCTGCTCCCCCAAAATAGTATGTGGTTGTTCAGTGGCTTGGGAGAAGGCATGTGGCCTTCTAACACTGCATAGTTTTATGAGGGAATGTGGTGGTTTAGCAACAAAATGCAATCTTCAGTATTTTATATATGTATTTGTATGTCTACATGGATCTAATGCCGTGTTTATCTTAGTGTTTTATAGAGAGTAGCTTCTGAAACTAAGAAAATTAATTGTAACTGGTACTGTTAACATTTTTAGAAAACAAAAGTTAAATATGGATGCTGACTGAATCAGTGCATGCTTCAATATGACACAACACAAGCCCTATAATTCAGAGATGTACAAAACCTGACACCATAATTGCTCCAGTGAAGTCAACCTCTGTGCATCTCTTAAGGCAGAAACTATTAAATACTTGGAAATGCTTCCACTGTGAAGCCACGGGCAGTTTTAACTTCAGACTTTTCCAATATTTGCAGCTTTTCTTTAGAATAACAGTAAGTGCAAATAGGAGAAGAAATATTTGGCACCAGGAAATTTGTTACCTGGTTTTGAAACCACGCTGAAAAGTGGTAGAAGGACTAACGGCCCTATTACAACTTGGAATTTTCTTCTAATCTTCACAAAGGCACAGTGCACAGAGACAGTCTGCCGTGAAAAATGATTTCTGAGCTATTCCCAACCCTCCAAAAGAGATAAACACATCAGATTAGGCAGATTTTAATTACGTTAATCACCTACCACGTTGGCATTTTCTTAAGGATAAAAAATAGCGTTACATGATTAATTTCAGATTTTCTGAGATAGAATCATTGCAGAAATTGCATAGACCTGAGACACAGGATATTTCATTGTCTCCATACTCGGAGGTGGCTGAAAGGCCATTCTTTAAAATTCACAGATTGTGAGGCGATACAGGCTGCATTTTTTGTCATTCCAGCTCCCATCAGTGTACATCTCGACACATTTTTCTGTCCCTTTGCCATTAGGCTCATATTGGTGCCACTTGGTATAATTCAGAGGTGCGCCATTTATATACTTAAATTGACCTGAAGTCTCGCCTTCTTTAATGCCCAAGTAAGCGTATCGGTTATACTGTTTCACAATACCCAAAATAGCGTTATTCTCCTCCTCATTCATGGGAGTAGCAAGAGTTCCTCCAGCCCCTTCACAGGATTCTAGTGCAGATGCAAAATCAGCTTCCTTCCCATTGCTGGCAAGTATTTTATCTCCTACTTCTCTTATTTTCCCATTCAAAGCAAGCACTAAAACATGAAAAGAAAAAACCTAGTTAGCTTTTTTACTTTCCTATGGCATAGTGACGAGAAAGCAAAGAAAGGCAAATCAAGAGATGAAGAGAAAATTGAAAGCGGTGGGAGGAACAGAGGAGGGAACAGAGGGCAAGAATGAGAGTAAAAGATGAGGAAGAGTAAAGATCTTCAAAATTTTACCAATACATGAGTCGTTCGCTAAGTATATTGTTATGCTGCTTGTGACCATCTGTCATTGTCTTCTCCAAGACAAGGATGCCCCACTAACATTTGCTACGTACTCTATTAGCCCTATTATTATATTGTGTGTACTCTCTGAAGAGGATCAATTTGCTTCAAGTTTGAGCAAGTGAAACAGAAATGGTAATTTTTGTGAATTCCTTCTCAGTACAAAACAATTTACCACCTTTAACAATCTGGTTGCTGATAGATAAAACTGCTAGCAACATGGTACAAGGCTGAGGCGTTCCCATAAACCCATGTGGAAAGTACAACATCAGTTGGAATATTTTTTTTAATAAATTAAGCTTGAATAAATGCGTATTGGTGTTCCTGAGAGATCTGCTTCTCCTGGGAAAATGAGTCCTGATTGCCCCTACTTTGGATGAGAAAATGGACTTTTGGGATGTAGTACCATTTTTCAAGTGCTATTTCTTTCCTGCAAGTCATGATTCTGGAATTAATTTTGCCTATTGCACTTAAAACTGATTGGGAGGCAAAAAAGTTAAAATGGGGAAAAATTACCGCCTTCAAGTCTGGAAAGTCGGTGCTTCAAATTTACTAAAACATTGTGGAGTTCAGCGTCCAGAGAATCAGGTAGATCTACACAGATACAAATAAAAGTTATACAATTAAGCAAAACTAGTCTCTGCTGATAGGAACAATTCATTGGATAAACCAAAACTAACTAGGACAAAATGTAATTTTTTAATGTCATCTGGCATAAAATAAATGTTTTCCCAGTGTTTTTTCACGCTGCTGTTAACCTATATTAAAGCAAACAAACCAACCCCTCCAACCCTCTGAAATGCTGATAACTCCCCTCTGCACAGAAGAAAATGAATTTTTCTCGGTTGAAGCCTTATGTTTGTCATGTCTGTGAAAACTGGCTTGGCCAAAGAGAATTTATTTCATTCGAATAATCATTAGTGAACAGGCACAAGGGAGATTTTGGGGCAGGAACAGTTCCTGTGGCACCATACCGTTTTCTTTTTAATCTGCTGGGTGGATGCTTTGTGTTTTTACAGTGGGAGCTTATGTTAATGGAAATCATAAACACTGGTATAGGAGGGTTACTGCAGAGATTGTGTGAAATACAGTCCATCCAGCACTGCTTGCTAAAGGTGGGAACTCGCTGTGAAGGTAGATACTTTTCTCATACAAATTTCCGTGGGTAACGAAGGTCCTACACGTAGGATAAAGTTACTAGTGTGCTCCCGTGATCGTGTTCCCATTGTTCACAGCTAAACCAAATGGCAATGTAGAAGCACAAAATGTTGCTGCATCTCCCTCTCTCCGAGTTGCAATGTTGCAACTCTTGCTGCACTTCAGTCAGTAAAAAAACCAACCTATTTGACCCAATAAAGAGAGAGTCCATTTGACTGACAGAACATTACATGGACATCAGACTTTTTCTCCTTTCTCACCTTGCGGCCAAGGAAGACCATCTCCTCCACGAGGCCACATCAAGCTTCCAGAGGGTTCCGTGAGACCTGGAAAAGAGAAGCATACCTTTCTTTCAACTGATGCATATTCTGGGGACTTCAGGATGAAATAGAACTTAATCCCAAACTGAAATGTGTTACATGTATGAATAATTTTGATTGATAGTGCTTTAGCCTTGGTAATGGCCCTGGAGAAAGCATTTCCACATAGAAAGAAAATTACACAGTGCAAAGTGGGTTCCTTACCAGACTACTTTTGCACATACTATCTTTGAATACTAGAGAGACATGCCAGAGGCCTTTTAATTACACTTGTAAATACTGGAATAACATTTTCTTCATACTGAAAAAAAAAAAAGAAAAAGCTTCTGCTGTGAAAGCGGCAATTCCCTTTGGAAAGTCAACAGAAAAGCACTACAAAGCGATATATATCTTTATATTATATTTATATGTTTTAAGTATTGATAACTTGTTCATTTCCCCTCTTCTCCCAGAAGAGAGAGGAAGCCTATGTTTTAGAAAAAAAATATTAAACGGACCAATTCCTCCATTCAGTTTTCCTTCTTCTGCTTAACGCAGCTGCTTCCTTGAGGGCACATCTCCTTCTGGGTTAACCGTGTTTATTCACGCAGTGTTCATGACAAGGATTTGTTGCAAAAAAAAAGGAAGTTTACTTACGTGGTAGACGTGGCTGTCCTTTCAGACCATGTCTTCCAGGCAGGCCAGGGACACTGGGTAGCTCAGGAATTCCTGGACATTTACACAGTGCGTGGCAAGTCACTAGCAAAGCAGCTACTGCTGTGAGCAGGTAGGATGAGTGAGACAACATGATTGCTCAGGCCAGCTGTAAGAAAACCCACATGTTTGTCAGGCAATGATTCTGTAAGAAATTGTAGGCATTGGCTTATAGAATTGAACACTTCTTTCTTTTTTTTTCTTCCTTCTGTTTGTCCCTTCTTGAATTTACATTCTTTCCTTGTTTGAATAAAGTCTATAGTATAGGAGATCTCCCAGATTTACTTTGCTACCGTTGCATAGCTTATACACAAAACTGTTTCTAGACTGATACAGATTGGCGTGCTCATTACAGAATGACAGCTACACATTTGGGAGTAGCGAAGACAAATCATCCTTTCTGCTGTCACTGACTAGTTGTTGGATTAATCCTTGAGAAATGATGGGCTCAGAGGTAACAACCGATCACACGCTTAAGCCATTGGTTGTCTGTAAGGGCTACAATCGCTCAATGAAACATGGATGCATATGCTGCCAACCTGAAAGGCACAATCTGTTACAGCGGTGGTTGTGAGCGTTTGGAGCTAGTTAGCAATCTCTTTAAGCACAGTACTATTTAAGCACATTTATTTGAAATAAGCAGACTGATATTTTATAGCTCAATTGACATTCCTATCTTGTTTTGAACAAAATTCCACAAGCTTGAAAATGTCAGTTAGTCTTGTAGAAAATGCATTTTTGCTGGTTGGCAATAGGCCTATTCATCTTATTTTATCCTTTCAGATATAACATTAAGTAGGGTTATAATCTCAGTGCCGAGATATCATGACTAAAAAGCACTCTGAAACTACAGGTCATGGGTTTACGACGCAGCTAGTGGGTGTGCAGCATTGGCAACGCTGTGCAGTTATAAAACCTGAACTGATGGACTATAGGATGCTATGGCATGGAGATAGCCAGTTATTGGCATCGGTCAGTTAAAATAATAAGAGAGCTAAAGAAAGGTTCAAGGTTCGAGATGCCAGAATGGGTATCTCTTGCTAATGAGATGACCCCGGTGGGTTGACTCTCATACGAAAGGTATAACTTAATACCCATGACTTGACTTTTCTTTTGGCATGAATTAGAGAGGATCGTGTATTACACTCTCTTAAAAACTTCCATCCTTAAAAAACCCTCAGAATTGACAAGATAATTGACACGCAATATGTTCTAAATCCAGCTCTGCTTACAGTTGAGAATAAAATCTTGGTTGGCTTGAATGCTGCGAGATTATTAACACCTGGGTTCATCAGGGGTTAAAACAAGGAATTTGTTTCAAAGCATACATGCCAAGCAGAATCAAAATATCAGTTTATTATTATTACCATTTATTAAACGGGTACACTAAAACTGGACTGAGCTTTTAAAAAAAGGAAGTATTGTTTGCATCTTCCAGACTGACTCTATCGTAGAAGGCTTTTGACATTATTCTAAATCTGCATCAATACCAACTATTTGTAAAGGCAAAGCTCACTTGTTTTTTCTAGAGGAATGTCTCATCAAAATCAGTTCAGTGGGACATACCCTGGAACGTAAGAACATTCAGTTATATCATAAATTTCAGCGTTTTGCTGCATATAGAGTCTGTTTAAGTAATAGCAGTGTCTATTCCTCATGGTCAAGAATTTCCACTTTTAACGAGCGCAAATTTCAAATCCACCTGAGAAAACACGTGCTGTATTAAAAGCGCTGTTGAGTTTGGTGTGTTGAATCTGAAGTGTCCCAAGTTGTTTACCCTTCACTATATTGAAGGCTAGCAGACACCTCTGACAACGCTGGCCAATGACTCAGAGCGCGCATTATTAAAGTCTCTAACAGAAACCTACCTTAGGTGGCTAGGAATACTTACATCCCCGAGATAAGGAAATGCAATTACAACAGGTACTCTTTGTCTGGTGCAGATCATTCAGGGAGTTGCATTTGAATGGACTACTGCATCCAGCTTATAATTGGATTATGATGCAGAGTCAGAGTCCTGATCAGTTATATAGCAAAATGGAAAAAAGAGCTCTTCAGTTTTAATGACCTTCATCAGTCATTACTATCTAGTGTCCTTCAGGCATCTCCTCATCTACTAAAATTGCTAATGCAAGCAAAGTAAAAAAAATACTAATAAAGGAAAATTTAATTTTAAAATGTAAATACGACCATGGAAATTAAAAGGAACAGGTCTCCCTTCTAGCTGAAGTTCCTTGCGTGATTTATTAAAAGGAAATTCAACTTACCCTTCTGCTTCAAAGTGAAATGAAAGAGCAGTTCACACGAGTCCCCTTTATATAGTGTCGTGTTTGTTAAATGACACCGCTGAAGTGGAGACTGGATAATGAGGGCACGAATGAGCCTTTTCAGTTTTGCTTACCCACTCGTTATGCAAATGCTGAGAACAATTTTAAGGGTTGAGAAATTTCTTTTTCTTTCATAAGAACAGAAAGCCAAAGTTGGAGAAAAAACAATCTAGAACTAAGAGATAACTCCAGATTTGTAGACACCTATGAAATGTATAAATATTTCAAGAAACTTTCTGTGATTCTAGGTGATACTGTAACTTTTTGTTTGTTTGTTTTAAAAAAGCAAAAATGGCATATGACCACCAGTGGCTTTTGTAGAAGGAAAGGTGCTCTTGTTAGTTAGGGAAGCACGTTACCTTCCAGACAGAGTCTGACCTGATAATCAGAATTCTAAACTTTGCTTCCCGTCTCCGTACCCGATGTACTTACCTTACTTAATATCATTTTCTAGTTGTGTGTACACTCAATGTTTCTGTGAGCATCTGGTCTCTTTTGCATGTAGAGTACAGCTGACCCTCACTTGGTCAAAGATGGATCCTGGAAAAAACTGTATACATGCACAAAATCCTCAAATGGGCAACGTTTTCAAGTAAAAAAGAAACCAGAGGCTTTGGTCCTCCGGTTTCCCAGCAACAAAGATTGGGATCTCGTGAATAACTTCCTTCTGGTTCTGATGCCTTCTGCTGTAAGGACATTTACGTTAGATCCTAGCTGAGGTTTGTTTTATGCACCCCAGCAAGCCAACACATCAGTCCCTCACCTGTAAGACACAAATACCTCCGCTTCACAGCTTCTCTCTGCTTTGCCAGTTTACGCTGTGGTCTCTTAAGGATAGAGCGGTTTCTACTTTTCATTTGCATTTTACTAAAACTACCTAAGTTTTGTCATGATCCCTAATTATAGTGTCTTTCTACCCAGCAGAATTCACAGCTGCAAGCTAACATCTTTAGGCTCCTTGTTCAACAAATGGAGAGATGTCTAATATCAACGGGCTGACAGAGCTAAGAGAAAACCCCAAAGGAGGAGATACGTTTCGCATCCCCTTTAGAAGTAACTTAGTCACTTAAGTCCACTTCCATTCACAACTGTGAGCCTTGTCCCGTGGTTAAAAGTGCTCAGCATGGTCTGTCCTCCCAGACAAAAAAAAAAAAACCACCAGCGAACTGAGGGATATCAGTGCCCTTTCAGGGAAATGATCAATCAATGCTCACAAATGTATGTTATAAACAATCTGTCTTCAAGTCCTTCCTCTACCTGATATGCAGCAAAACTTGGAATGCGGGTTAGTCATTTTACGAAACCTCTAATCCCACCAGCTGAAACGTATTTCCTGCTGTAGTCCAAATGAGGTAGATGAAAAGAACTGGTGTTAGGTGCGTAAGATGTGGATTAGATAGTACCCAGTGGGTAAAATACCTTGTTTCTGAATCCTGCTGCGGTTTGGGAATAGCACAGATACGAGGCAATTCAGCACACTCAAGACATGGGTAATTCTGTTTCTGAATGGCAGCAGAGCTCTGGGGTACCTACAGCACGCAGAAATTTCTGCAGTTGCAAGATAAGATGGAATTTAATGGATCCTGATTTTGGGAAGTAGTATTTTAAATGATTAGGTGCCTGAGTTCTTGGGAATCTAACTTACCAGAACACAATCTCGTATAGATCCAGTTTCTAGGCAACTCCGTGACAGTTGTAATGGCTAATACCGTTCTGTGGTATCGCTGCCCATATACATCCTCCCCGCGCATATACATGCAACTTCAGTACATGAACAACACGATAAACCTTTGCAGATTTGTACTGTTTCTTCCACCTAACACAGCTTATACTTTACTTAAAAAAAAAAAAATAATAAAGAATTGGAAACATTAATTGGGGAAGTCCGTAAAGCCCCGCCAGCTACACACTATCTCTGTCCATTCAGGAAAGCGTGGCATGAGCAAAACGTGGCTTCTAATGGCTTAAGATGTAGAAAAACTTTATAAATTATTATCTTCTACCATAACTTTCAAAGAAACATACATTTGATAACAGTTCTTCTCCCATGAGTCAGATTATACTTGCACAACGGAAGCTGATAAGAAACCTAAAACATAATCCAACATGAGAGATTCCTTAGTCATTAGATTTACTTTCCTTAGTTATGTGGCAGAGAATTAGGGAAAACAAATATACTAGAATAAGGAAGAAAGAAAGTAAATATTTTTTCTGCAACTTGGCACCCCTGTAGAATAGTTCCAAGGCTCCGTATTCTGAAATTTACAGGTAAACCTGTGTGGTAATGGCTGAAGATCTTTATCTGGGTAACGCCCACAAAACCCACCCAGGGAACTCGAATGGTTTCAGTGCGCCCCAGATAATGACAGAAGGAAGGATGCAGTAAGTAGAACGATAAGATTCCTTCTGATGTCCCCTGATGCATTAGATATGCTGTGTTGTGTTGTTAATGCCAGTGAATTAAACCCAAACCCCACAATGGCCTGCTCAGCTATTAGCAAAGGAGAACTTGGGGAAAAAAAGGAATCTGATTGCCAAAGAAAGACGCCGTGTACCCAGAAAGACTGCTTCTTTGTACAGCAGCCGTGCACGCTACCCTCAAAAAAGTAATTTGAAAACTAGTAACTGCCAAGGTGGTTTCAAAACCAGAACCAATTTTATACAGCCTTCAAACCTCTAATTTTCAGAAAACAAGGTGAAGTCTCCATTTTGCTCAGCACGCTGTTTCGAAATGAGCTGATTACTAACAACCTTATCAGAGCCCAAT